TGCGCATATGTGCATTCGCAGAACCTCTTGAAATCCTAAATATAGTCAAACAGAGCAGGAAGGGCAGAGAAGGATGTGATGCAGATGATGCACTGCATCGCTTTCCCTAATGTCCCTGAAGATTCACTAATTTGTGTGAAGTTATATAAATAGTTGAGTAATAATGATTGGCATCTGATATTATTCGACTTAAAGTATGATATGAAAATCTGTCAGCTTCGTTTTACAGTTTCAGTCTTCACATTACCCATGATGACAGATCTATTCAGTTTTACCTTAAGAGCACAAACAAATTTTTAAAAAGTAAATAGACCCGAATCAAATTATCTCCAAGTCATTTAAAACCTAAATTTAATTTTTTAAGGGTCATAACTTTTGAAAAAACATACTCATAATGAAATTAAATGTAAGCAAACATTTGTGTTGTGCATTCATGATGCATATTTAATAATATAAAATGTTATTTATATTGCATATTAAAGATGGTCATCCATTTGTTACTGTGGTCCTGTTTCTAAGTTTTACAGGGGAGATGACACAAACACAGGAGACTGTTCCAAAACAGGTCATGCACAGGAAGTCAATGGAACATGTAATACACATGAAGAATTACTTAAAAACACAATAAAGAACACAAATATATGTATTAATATGAAATTAAAAGACTGTAAACTCAGCTGGAAGGTTTTACAGGGGCTGTCTGAAAGACATTTTTCAAAGACTTTGTCCCAACTCCTGCTGGCAATAAAAAAGAATGCAGGTTTGAGATACTCCCATTATGGGTTTATTTTTTGGACCCAGAAGCTACATTCATCTCTTACAGCAGCGGTCCTCAACACCCGGGCCAAAGACCACTACCGGTCCATGAGAGTTGAGGCTCGGGTGTGAAATGTATGGTTTTCAGGGTTTTTATCGTTAACTTGGTTTCCCTGGGTCTTTTCCCGTGTTGTAGTTGTGTGCCTTACTTTGAAAAAAATATTTACGCGTTACCACAGTGACCAGAGATCATTAAGTGGCAGAGAGGAGGACGTTACTCTCAATGTTGTTGGCGCATTTCAGGAGGGCACTGCTAATAAAGCTATACAATTACACAGTGAATTCATGTTTATTATTATATTTACAAAGTACCACAGTTTTTGTCTTGGTCATATCATTTTATTTTGTTGTATTTATCTGTGACACCTTAAAGGCCAGTCCGTGAAAATATTGTCTGATATTAAACCGGTCTGTGGCGCAAAAAAGGCTGGGGATCCTCTCAATGATTATTCTTGAAAGGAATTGTTTATTGAATTAATAATGAACTCAATAGAATCTGATTTAGTAAAGCACTATTGTCTCATGTCCTTCTTTTGTATACAGTCTATATGAACTCTAGAAATGGTTTGTATTAAATTCGTTTACATTTGAAATGAATGTAAAGCTTCTCATTTGTTTTTGAATCTGCATCGTTTCAATAAGGCATTCAGTCTACTTTGAATCTGCACTGAAAGAAACGAGCTCTGAGTTGCTTCTGTTACTGGGTTACAGTTGTCAAACTTCATAATCGATCATATTTCACCACAGAAAGATGAAAAATTTCTGACCTTCCCCCAATGTAAACTCAAATCTCTTCTCTATTGAAAAATGAAGCAGCCTAGGCAATTACTACATTGTACACTGTAAGCAATTCAAGGACTATGTATTCAATAACGCCCACAAGCTACGGCAGCTTTTACCTGACATTATACATTTCTTTGTGTCCCTAATGGAAGATTGATCTAGCTGAAGCAGTGTTAACATGAATATCCTCAGTGCTCGAAATAAATGATTTTGTTTATTTTACTAACTCTGCAGTTGTCAGACATTTTCTACCATGTTTGACTTCAGAAGTTAAAAAAAATCATACCCCATTAACATTAAAAATAATTTAACTTAAATATTATTGACATAAAAGGTAAACAAGATAGAGTCAATAAACTCTTTATTTTTCCCTTAAAAGAGTCAACTATGTGTCATTACATTTCTCATCATGACCATCAAGACATTGTTTCCCTGACTGTGCATTAATCGATGCCACTGATAGAAACGCCTTTCATATTCACTGTGTATAGTGTTTTTACAGCGTCTATGGACGGGGACCATTAATTACTGCTGTTCATGACACATACGCATATTATTTAGTTTCTTCATGGAAATTTTTATCATTTGGTGTGAAACATATCCTGATATGACACAATCAAGTCGCACTGTATCATAATGAGGAAGGTGATTTTTGGCTTTTGTAGGTAGCACAGAACAAAATGAAATAGGAAAATGAGCACAACAATAATTCATGCAAGACGAAAAGTCAAGCTCTGTCAATCACAGAATATGCTGGCTCAGATTAAACTGCTTAAGCTGCTCTTGCCTGAATTTTGTTGCTGCTTTGTCTAAAACACACTTTGCTATCCACCTCCACCCCAGCTCCTCAATTTAATTTTGTGTCTGACTTATCAGTGTGATATTTGTTATCCTTAAATCCTGCTCTGTTTCTTACCGTAGTGGAGAGTATTCCACATGCTCTTCCCGCCTTGGGTTTTCCAATTATGTACAAGGAAAGAAGAGCTCTCAACGCCTTAGGCTTTCCACGCTTGCACGTGGAAGGAAAAACAGAAGCATACTGTCACATATAATTAGGCTTTTCCAGTTTTAAACAAGACTATCTAAAGTGGGCCTGACTGAAATAGCATTTCTCAGTAGTTTGATTTTATTGATTATATCTGCTTCATGAAACCTTCACAGAAGCAGAGCAGAGGATGCTAAAGAAAAGACGGTAAGGTCAGTGAGTCAGATTCAAATACTCTTTAGAGTGTGGCCAAGTGGAGCCTCCAAGAGAGATCACCTCCAATGAAATCCACCATACCTTTGTCTTAAGCTTAACCACAGTAAAAAATAAATAAATAAAATAGCTGGCTTTGGCTTTGGAGCTGCAGTTTTTATTCTATTGTCTTACGGGAAAAATATGTTTGGTCACAACTCACAAATAGCCTGTGGAATACATGTAAGCAAGGTGTTCACATGCAAGTAAAGTTAAAAATAGTTATGCCAATTTATAGCCAGCTAATTAGTAAAGTCAGGCTATATATCAATGAATGTGTCATATCCCACCTCCGGTCTGATAAATGGACGACTGGCTTTCAGGGAATTAAAATCAATTCTGTAATTTTCTGATGATTGATGAAAAGCATCTGTCCATTCATACACGTCTGTCCTATGATTATGTATGTTGTGGTGTATGCATTTATTGGTTTCACCTATTTACAGCTTAATATTAGAGCCACACTCTTATGCCTGCTGAGTATAATGAAAATCCACTGCAATCATGAAGCAGTAAAGATTGCCTCTTGCCTTGTCTTGTTGAAATGCAGCCTGCATGTAATCAATGCAAATTGTGATATATGTTGCCCAATCTTATATTTACACAGCCAGTATTTCCTACCTCCACTGACCTGTGTGTCTGTATGTACACAGAGAGAGAGAAAGAAAGGAAGGTCACCTGTCTCTGCCCTTGTTGGACATTGATGACTTCTTGCTGATGCTATTTAACACTATAGGGAATACATAAATAAATGTTTACATGGACATTACCAGGCCAGACCTGGACACAAACACAGGTAGAGTCAAGGACACAGAGTCACTTCTGACAAAATATGGTTAAAAAAAAAGAGCTCATGAAATAACAAAAAACATAAATTAATTTACTTACACATGCAAAGTGCAATCTGTTCAGTGAGCACAAGCGTTATTTTCAGAAAATCTGACACTGTAAATGCGACAGAGTGGTTTAGGTGTTGATGAGGCTACTGGAAGAGCTACATTTTGAATCCTTTTCTGTCTGTGCAACACAGTGGTGAAACATGTCAGCACGCATGCAGTCCATCTGTTCTCGGTTTCTCTTTTGAGAGCACTTTTGTAATATTCGAGTCACTATTGGGTTTATTGATTGGCAGCTTTTCCACCATCCATCATCAAAGGGTGAGTCTCCTACGTCTGTACAGACTGTTTAAATTCCAATCCTCTCATCTTTGAATGAATGTCCTGTGCAGATTAAGCCAAGCAGTCCTGCGGATTCAGATTAAGATTAGCTGTGATGTCGTGTTTTTAATTAGTGTTTTCCACAGCAAAACACAGACTTTCATTGTTTTTTAAGTTATTTGCCTTATAGAATCAGTTGTAAGTCCTTGTGTCTGCTGGTTGGTTGTCCTTTGGTCTACATTGTAGGTGCTTAAACTGATTGCAATTCTCCAGGTGCTACCAAGAGTAAACAAGCCTTAGGTGCTGTGTCACCATCACTTGACTTTTATTAATGGGCTACTCCATTTCTATTTGTATCACCCTTTCAACTAAAATCCTGGCCTCACAACACTTAACAAATTGGCTGATCCTGTGACCTGCCTTTGCTATTTCACTAACAATAAATGATGGCTGTTAACCAATACTAGTTAGGCTGCTCAATAATCTGATCAGGTAATAAATTTACTTTTTGCTGATGTAGACAGATAAGTAGGACAATAAGTGTGTAAGTATGTGTTAGCCATGCTATATATTCAAAAGTATTTGGACGTGTCCATTTTTCCTGGCTTTTGCAGCACGTCTTTGATCTGTCACAACAACAAATGATTACAATAAACCATTTTATTTATAGGCACCTTCGAAGACCTTCAAGACACTTTACATGCAATTAAGTGTCAAAATCAAAGTCTGGAAATAGGAAAACACCTTGAAAGTCTTTAAATAACAAATTAAACCAACAAACTAACAGAACAGACTATCTTAAAAAGATGTGTTTTAAGACTGGCTTTAGTTAAGGAGACAGTGGTTGGCATCCTTAGTTCCAGTTAAGGGGACTTGTCTTTCTGTCTTTCCAGAAGTTCTTGGTTGCCATCTAGTGACAGATGTATTCCATTACACCATTTCCATAGCTAAAGACACCATTTCTCTTCATTTTAAAAAAGGCATCAAAAGACCGATTTTTAGTGATGCACAAAGTTTTATTTTTGAACAAGACAAAGGTGCAGTTACACAATGGTGCTGATCTACGGTATCATGTAAAACCCTACATGTCTTTTCAATGGGTTGTAAAAATCATGCCAGCAAGTTGCTTCCTGATTTTGCTGAAAAATATGGACCGCGTATTAACAGTCTCTATTGAATTACACTTCCTTGGTTATAATGTAAATGTTAAAATGTTGGCATTGGTTAATTTTAACAAGAACTGTTCATGCTTCAAAGGTTAGCATTATTAATGGCTAAATGTGCAACCTGAAACATCTGCTCTCAGGCCAAAGAACCTCCCATAACAATTTACGTACACTACTGTTATAAAATGTTAAAAATGAAATTGTTGATTTGTGGACCTCTAAAATTTTGGTGTGGAAATAAGGCAATAATTTTAAAGGATGAGTTCTTGATTGCGTTGCTTGCTTTTTATTGCATTACCTCATTTAGTCTGAAACTGACGTAGCATCAGAGAATCTAAATGAACGTTCAATGCACTGCAGGCTAAATACCATCATGTCAGTAACAAGTGAGAAAGTTTCACGTGCACTCAATCCAGCTTCAACACTGCATGCCTTGTGATAACAATACAAAATGTACAAGCAGATGCCCTTCCTGTTCCCATACCTGTGCAGCATTAAACATCTGCTCTTGTATTTAATGTGTATAGAATTTGATGAACATATTTACCCAGAAAAGAAGAGCTGTTGAAATTAGCAAGCTCAGGCTGCATTTACATGATTGGAATTCAAGCAAGGCTCCTTAGAAAAATTAAAACATAGCTTGAAACCAGTCATGCATGCACTTTTTTTATAAATTAAATTCACCACTCTCTCTTACTGTATAGAAGAAAAACACAGTTTGACTGTTTGTCACCGTTTGGTTTTTGCAGCCTACTTAACACAGTCCTTAAATCAATCATTTATCATGCCATGCAGGTGGTTCCTTAGTGTATCCTTACAGAAGTATTCAGTATTACTTTAAGGGGAGTTCTTCCATAGTATTACATAAATGCCAGGCTGAATTAATAATGAAGCATTTTTTCTTTTTTTTAAATCAGCAAGAATCTAACTGATCATCATAGCTAAGGTTTTGGCAACATAACACCTCAAGACATCCTAAGGTATAGAAGTTATCAAGACACTACGTTAACCACGTGATAAGATTTCAACAGTCTCGCGTTACAAACTCCAGCAAGCTTTTGAATGTTAAAGTGGTCAGTGTTTAACAGAAGACGTGCTGAAATACTACTCATACGTCTCATAAGAGGAACCAAAATGGCAATTCTCTTTATTGTTTCATACAAATCCACACTGTGTAAGTGTCGTCTCACTAACTAAGTACCATAACGAAAAGGCTTCTTGTCTAAGTTAAAGAAAGGTTTCTAAACAGCTATTTAATCAAATTCTGAGTGGATACAAAAGTAACCGTAATCAAGCATTGCCAGTGAAGTGTTACATTACAAACTTAAATGTTGATAAAGGATGATCCCGTTGTTTTTGTGAGAACTCGTTTTTACTGTTATCGCAAAAAGACAACTGCACATAACCGCCCAATATAGTCTGTATCAGCCATCATCTACAGTGAGCCTGTGGCCACGAGGTCTAATGATACGGTCATGTTGGCAATCGGGGCATCAGCCTCTGTCACAATCAGCAGGTCTGCCAGCAGAGCAGTCCTTTCTACTTCAGCCCAGCCCACCCCCTCTCTCCACCTGAGACCTCTCCGGTGAAAGACAGAGGCGAGGGAGCACAGAGGTCAGAGTCTGTGTCCGACTCCCCCTCTGCTAGCAATGGTCTGACCCTGGCACAGAGTGAAGGTCCACCTCCGGCTTCGGGCCCTGCTCCGGCTCCCCCTCCTAAGCCTGTAAAGAACGAGGGCCCAAAGAAGTCCTCCTTGGCTTGGGAGATGCTGAAGCCGCTGAACGAGCGCTCCAGCTCCTCATGGTCAACCGACGGGATGGAGAGGGATGTGTCACTATCTACTGCAGTGACCTCTCGATGGCACCTGTGCCTCCTGTTGCGCCTCTTGCTGTGGGAGCCGCTCTCTCTGCCGCTGCCACCCTGACCCGAAGAGGATCTGTCATGAGCTGGAGCAGGTGGAGGTGGGAGGCGGAACAGGGTGGGCGAATGGTCGCCGCTGCCACCTACTGGCGAAGGGGTGTTGGCCACGCTGCTGTTCCAGGCAGGCTGGCTGATGGGGTTTTGCAGCTGGTGCTGCCAGGAGGTAGAGGGGCGGCTGTTGCTCCCAGAGGGAGTACCAACTGATCTCGCCACGGATCGACCAAGTAAAGGGTCTTTCTTTTCCAAGGACCCGTCAGAGCATGGGACATCAGCTGCTGAGCATGTCTTCACCTCCTGTACCTCCTCCTTTTCCTCCTTCTCTTCTTTGCTCTCCTCGGGGCTGTGGTAAGGCGGGGCTGGATACGGCTCCCTGGAGTTGAAAAAGGCCTCTGTTTCGGAACGGGGGATACCCATACGCTGCACATACACATTAACCAGGAAGTCGAGTTTCCTGTCCATGCAGACCACCTGCAGAAAGACAGAAAACGGTGTTCCATCAGAGGAATCAACATAAGTTGATGTTGGCAGGAAAAGAAAAACTTTCCAGACTGACCTTCACAGACCTGGGTGAAACATTCCTACCTGCTTTTCCACTTTGACCAGACGTCCCATCATACTCTGGTCCTCCACAGCATCTCCTCCACCTTTGGGACCTTTACCAACTATCTGGTCAACTCTAACATTTAGAGAAAATAGTGTCATATATTAGATTATAATATGATTATACAAGTGTATAGTTATATGTATAGTAGATATGCTCTGTTTTGCCACAGGGTCTGACCCCAATATTTTTAACTCAAGAAGTTTGGGATGCCAAAATGAAGATTAGTCTTGCATTGAAAAGTAATGAAATTATTTTAGTGATGATTGTTGTCAAGCTGCAAATAAATATGTTTGAATGAATAAATGATGGCCTTACAGAAGGTGAACGTTTCCTGAGACACTACTGAGTTCAGGTGGATTGTGTGGACGCATGCATAATGTGAGTAAGACGATCTTTTTTTCCTTTTCTTTTTTTTCGTTTAACAAAACAGAGTCTAAACTGAAGGGACATTTTGTCTGCGGCCAAAATGCATCACTTGGCATGCTTCAGTGGTGCTTCATGCTTCATTTCCATTGCATCCTACTGGGGGAGCTCTCCCTCTGTCTTTCTGCTAAGAGAGCAAGCATTTAGCACTTCAAACCCCTCTTGAGCGAGGCCATGTGAAACGGCTCGTTAAGATTCAGTGAGCAAACGGCAAAATGTCTTTTTTTAGCCTTTCCTTGACAGCAGCTGATATCATTTGTCACCAGCGCTAACAGAACAACATCCTTAAAATGTTCTACGTAAAGCAGTCTGTTAAGCCATTTCACTTATTAACTATTGCACCTGCACCCCTGCTTTCATGTATCACAATCCCGCTAGCTCAATGAGACATGTCAATGGCTTGAACTCAAAAGGGGTTCCATCAATCGAACCAGTAAGGTAGCATGTAACTGCTACTATGGCATAAGGAGGATAATGCTGATAAAATGGTCATTCTAAAGGTGCAGTCTATTAACCTAACCTAGGAACTTCAGTGGACTTCTTATGGCGAGGTGTTGTTGGGGGAGGCGGCCCCACAATCATATCTATCCTGGCAAGGCACACAGAGACGATATGAGTGCAATGCAGAATGAAGCAACGTGGGAATCACATCAGGTATGGAGAACACGTCTGCAATATATTCCACACACGAGACATACGGTGAGTCTGGCTTGTTTCATGGATGGAAAGTGTGTGTGATTCACTGATGGAATATATTTCTTGTACATGTTAGACCTTCAGGGGATCAAGGTGTGAGGAGCTCGCTTGTAGGAGGGAAAACTGACATAGAAAACAATGTGAATTAGACATCAGTGTTACATCCAAAATCAATCTGTGGCACGTTCAGAGCTGAAGGAGTGACCGCTAATAGGACATCAAGCTACCGATATATGTAACAGATCTGAATACAACACATGTATCTGGATAAATGAAACAGGCAAATCAATGGCTTGTGTGTCACAACATGTGTGTATCCAGTGACCACTAAAAGCACTTTGTTAGTAGATGAAAGCTCCACTGTTATATTAAGATAACTAAACTAACTACTGACACATATTTCTTAAAGAAATGACTAATTCAAGAGTAAAGGACTTCTTGCCTGGTCTGCAGGTTCTTAATGCGCGACAGCATGTCCAGGTGACCAGCGGAGTATTGCTCAATCACGTCCATGACATCGTAGGGTCGCAAGCTCTCTTTGAACCTCCTCTTTGACACCAGGAAGCTCATGATGCTGGGGGGGGGAGAGGGGGCGAGACATCGTTGTTAAACGTGTCACGTGACAGGAAAACAAATGACCAGATCACAGCAGACATTTCAGAATAACTCCCAAGAATTCTCCTGCTCAAAACAAACAAAAAGTGCAATGCGGAGTAAAATGCAAATGAAATATAACAAATCAACGGTTTATTTATTTAAATGATTAATGCTTTAGGAAAATATGACTGGTACAAACTGAATGCACACCAAATAAAATCATTTGATCACATTGATCAGATAACATTTTACACTGTACGTATGTAACAGAATTATATGGAAAATTTACATGTAACCAACTTAAAACCAACATTTTGGGCATACATTTTTGGTAGCTGATGGTTGTCATCCATTTTACATTAAATATATATGTTGTCTCTCAAATATCCACAAATGTGTCCTATGGCAGCTGTAATGCATGAGGTGAGACAGGTCTTTCATTCCCAACTTGTGAAAAGGGGCCTTTTGGTTTTTCACAAAATGTCATTTTTGCAATATGTAGCATAAAGTTGTGAAGAGCTCTATTTTAAACCACTTCTTTTAAACATAACCAAGCAGTTTATGATGACTAATCCTAAACCAATAGTTTTTGCTGTCTTCTGAATCACCACTACCTCCACATCCTACTAATGAGACCAGTTATTTCTGAGCATCTAATATCACTGAGGCTGATGCATCGAGGCACCAGCGTCAAACGACACATCATGCACATCTCTGGACGTCAGCAGCAGCCGACACCCTGGCATGGCAACCAGTGTTGGTCAAGTTCCTTGAAAATAGTAATTAGTTACTAATTACTGATTACCTCTCCAAGAAAGTAATCCCATTACTTTACTGATGACTTATTTTCAAAAGTAATTCATTACTTTATTACTTAGTTACTTTCCTTTTTAAATACACAACCTGAATACATAATAAAGCAATAGACCTTTCAGCCCAATTCTATTTTTTCTGCATAATCCATCATATAAAATCAAATCAAATGAAAAAGTCTATTTTTAAAACTTGTCGGAATCTTTTAACTTAACTACATTCTAGCTAATAGTCCATCATTGTACATTATTTATTATGATTACTTCTAATACGCCTACTTCTTTAAACACTGAAATAGCTACACAGATGACCACAGATATTATTTTTACACTACATGAAATAACCAATCACAGAACCATAAAAACCTCTTATTCAGAGAGTCCTTACCAGATTGCTCTGATTGCAACTTTCAAGCCTGGTGGTAACTCTTGAGTGAAGAATTCACAGTGGCAGCTCTTATCGTCACCAACTTCCTCTCCCGGAAGGCTCGCCTCTAGAAAGCAAATACAAGGACACTCTTTTAAAAAAAATTACATCTGCTTCCGCATGACACACGTCACCAGCAGAAGCAGAGCAGAGCCGTCGCTTTCAGCGCCAAAGGTGCAAGTGTCCGTGTTACAGTTGGTCTCAAGCCAGTTAGCCAGTTTGGGAGTGTGTGAGCAAGCTTCGTGGGACGACAGGTAAAAAGATTCGGTGCAGAATTGAAGGATAGTGCTGAGGTGATAAAGCTTTACTGTAACCTTCAAAGACAGGTACTCTCTTCCCACCACCAATTACAGATTAGCACTGGAAGGCTGGTCTACAGAATTTAAAGCATATTGCATGGAGTTGTCAAGGCCTAATTAGTGGAAATCAGAAATTTTCTGAGAATCTGGTAGGGAAAGTGAGGTCTCCTCATGCAAGCTAAAGCAGGGTTTGGGGGCATGTCTCTGGGTCAGTTTTGGATAATCTCGGCACCACTTGACTTGAACCCGTTTAGCTTAGCCTACTGCTACCATAAATACAAATGTATTACATGAGGTGCTCTAACAATCATAACAAGTAAATATGGAATAATTAGTTCCATGGGAGACTCTGCTAGACTCATGCCCTCAGTCATCACAGTGAGAAAAACAGCATAACAAAGGGTTCATGTCAAGTGAACATATCTCAGCAGATATCAGCATGCAGGTTTCTCAGACTGGGTGAAGCTGACTTGTCTTTGGATAATTTTCCCTATAGAAGTCAACCAACAAAATATCCCAATGCCTTACTTATTAAACCTTCAATTGCTGCAAAAAGAGAGAGAGGAGAGACATGGGAAAAGATTTGTTATGGATTCTAGCAGGATGAAAATGGCAGACAAATCAATTCCAAACATGGAAAACTGTGGAGTCTATTGAATGGTTTCTGGATCATGTTTGAACGGGCTGGTCTCTCTTCTCTTAGATTTAAGCTAAGCCAACTACATATGTTTCAAAGCTTTATATAACATGTATGGTAAACTATACAGCTAGACATTATAGACTATGTTACAGTCTTTACTGAAGACATGTCATGATGACTTGTCTAACCTGGAGAACTCTTCAGTCCAAAGTCTTCGTCCTGCATTTCAATCAGCACTTAAACATGCCATGAAGTGAAAGAAGAAAGACAGCTAATGAGAATTGGTTCACATTGCTTAACAGAAAGCAAAGAAATGGAGAGAGAAGAGAAATATTCTAATGATAGTGACACAGATGACACATGGATGCAGTGGGACTGTCTAGCACTAAATGATGACACCACACCACCACATCCAAAGTGACGGTCTCCTGAATGTGTTCTTAAAAATTTGATTTGTCATAGAAGTGGCAAATTTTTGTATACATGAAGGGAACATACATGTCTGCATGATAACTCAGCTACAGTCTCCACATTGATTGCAACTCAAAGAGGTTTTGACAGTAACTTCTAAACTCACACAGCTGGTGAGCTGCTGACCTGGCACTGCTCTGCTACATGTTCACTGGCAGCAACTGAATGTTTGTCAGATAAACTGTTAATCATAAACAAGTTTTGCCAAAGTATTCTGTGGCTAAAAGTTTACTCGTCCTGGGCATGAATGTCATGGTAAGTTTTTGCTTTTATTGATTTCGATAAACTGTTCTTTTTCCAAGGTCAAGTGATTGTACAGCATATAACCAGTGTTGCCAACTCCTCAGTAAGGAAAATCGCTATTGGTTGTCCTAAAAGTCGCTAGAAGTCGC